TTGGTGATAGAATTCATTATGACGAAAGCTGCCTCTAGTGTTTTGTCCACATTTTGAGTGTGGAGAATAATATAAGAAAGCTAAATGCAATATATAAACAACACAGTGTAACTACGACCTAAATTATAATTTATCACAACTTCTCACCTTTATGACATTTCAGGCAAAAACAGAAGCTTCATTAGAATCAAAGGCTGAATTGTTGTGTTGCATTGAATTAGGTTGTGCTTATTAACAGCTGTTATCATGAAGAACTTACTTAAGATAAGATAATATAACATCTTATTTGTCCCTCTTGTCTTAGAACGCAGACGCGTCTCTGGACGTGCGACACCCCGTCCCTCTGTTTCTGCCCGTCCGCACCAAGAAGCGGTACTTTATCCCTCCAGCAGTGGGGGTCAAGGAGAAGACGGAGAGCAACATGGAGGCCAAGTCCCGAGCAGCAGGCCTCATCATCAGGCAGGAGTACATGGAGAGGCCCATCAACCTCGCCTGCACTGGTAAAATAAAAAACTAACTGCGGCTCCTGTTCACATATTGGGTCAAGTTATTTCTAATCATAATCATTTAAACAGCACTTTTTCAAAACACAAATTGCTTTAGAAATAAAAAAAAAAATTTGAGTTTTAATTAAATCTAAAACAAAATAAATAACCAAAGAAATTACAACCAGATACTGTCAGTTAAGACAAAGTCATAGGTAATTAGGAGTAAAAGAACACATTAGGCAGAGGACAGTATTACTGACAGTCCGTTTACTGTTATATACAATGGTGATGGTACAAAGTGATTGATTGGTCCTATCTTCTGTTGTTTCCAGCCGGAGTCTTCGACCCTTACATCCCCCCAGAGGGCGATGCTCGTCTGTCCACTCTTTCCAAAGAAGGCCTGAAACAACGAACTGAGCAGATTCGACAGAGCGCCGCCTCACAGCTTGCGTAAGATTGTGTTTCTACGCTGTTGTTGTCCTTGTCAAACATGTCTGGACCAAGCTGGAGAGCATTCTGTGTGTGAGAGTTTTTTGTAGCTGTTCACTAATTTAAATCCAAGCAAATCTTGAAAAGCTTAATGTCGTTTTTTTTTTTTTTCACAGGATCCGTAAAATCAAAGAGCACGACTCTCTGTTCGTAACAAAGGATTTTGCAGCGCGAGCTCAGGAAATCTTTATTGAGGCTCACAACGCTCTGACACAGTAAGAAGATGAATTTCCGTCTCTCACTTTGCTCAGTCAGGTGACACAGCTCCTCTCAGCCTCATAGTCAGCGAGAAATAACGAATAACAGTGAGACATTTGTTATGGATGTGAGAATCCAAAGAATACCGGGAACATTCAGACGAGGGGTGGAGCTCTTGAATCTCCTCGTCCTTCCAAGTTGACGTCTTCGTCTTCTACGTGTACAGCTCCTCTTCTTCTTCCTCAGATATTTGTGTTCTACCAGTTTCATGTCCGTCACGTGTTAGAAACCTCATCGACTCGTCAACACTCGCTCACTCTGAATTTTCCAGACACTTTCCTGCTGTCTTCTTACATGGACCCACGCTGACATTTTGGTTGGGGGTTGTTAGGGAAAAAAAGACTGAAACGTCAGGAACATGTTTAAAATTGTGCAGATTTCTGATTGTGTCTGAAATCAACATGACATTAAGGAAGATGAACCTCTGGTCTTTTGCAGGTTTAACAAGGTGAAACTTCACACCTTGGTAACAGAGAGGTGTTATCCGGTAAGTCCTGTCTCCTTGTGAAGAGCTTCACTTGCTAATTCAGTTGCATGTTGCACCCTCGCTTACATTTTGCCTTTGAGTACATGAACTGCATGTCCTGTGTCCAGGAGATGACGAGGGGGAACCGCTACAAGACAATTCACTGGAGGTTCATCGAGTCACTGGAGCCGCCCAGGGTGGTCCATGCCCGCTGCCCTGACATGGTCAGCAAAGGCAACCTGTACGGCCAGGTGACGGTCCGCATGCACTCCAAACAAGTAAGATCCAAATGTCCACAGCTCCAGTGCAGCAATGCTACGAGATGAACTGTCAGTTTTAAGCTTAACATCTTTTGAAAGCATTAATACTTACTTTAACTAATGAAAACCAAACATGAACAGACTTCACTGTGATAAGAACGACCTAAATTGACAGAAACCATCTTTGACAAACATTTATTTAAAGTCTTGGTCCATGTCCCATCTGCTTACACGGAGGAGAGCTGGTTTATGACCTATACTGCAGCCAGCCACCAGGGGGCGTTCATGATGCAGTCATTGGGTTTACCAGTCATAACAGAGCAGACCAGTTGACCAATCAGAACAGATTACTGAGGAGGCTTTAAAGAGACAGGAGCTCAACTCGTCCATCTTAATGTACGGGCTCTGGTTTCAACTCTTTCTCTCAGGGTCACATTTTGTGTTGTTTAGATCGTTCATGTGTTTAAATGAATAAATATCTAATGTGTGCTCGGCCTCAGTTCGGCTCTTCAGGGACAAATAAAATATATTTTAATTTGAACTGAACCACGTCTCATCTCAGCATCCACATTGTAAAATAGTGTTTAATGTTGCTCCAGACCTTAAAATCAAGGTCACACTCAAGGTCGGGCTTTTTATCACCTAATGGAACGTTCTGTCGCGCAGACTCTGGCCGTCTACGACCGCTTCGGGAGGCTGATGTTGGGCAGTGAGGAGCAGCCGAAAGACGTCTTGGAGTACCTGGTTCTAGAACGGCACCTTGTCAACTCCTACGGCCAGTGGAGGCTGCACGGAAAAATAGTGCCATCCTGGGCTCCTGCCAAAGATCCAATTATTAAGGTGACGCCCCACAACATTTATCTTTCACAGAGAAAAATGCAGAGCTCTCTGCTGCTCGCTGTGTCTTAAGGAAATTATGAAATCTTTGTTAACTGGTCAGTATATACTTCACTTTACTGACCCAAGGACTGAAAGAATGTTCAGGCTTTTTCAGTGAGTTATCTTTCAGTCAATGGACGAAATATAACAGTCCAAGTACTTCCTGTCCGTCCAGACTATAACACAAGCCCAGAGTTTTCAAAGTCCACAGTTTTAGTTGCTCAAAGACTCTGGAGCAGTGTGGACGTCAGGTGCAAACGAAGAAACAATAATTTGTTTTAAAACTAACATGCAGTAGTGTGGTTGTGGCCTCCACAGTCACCAGACCTGAATCTAACAGAACCTCTGGGGGATGTGGTAGAACAGGAGACTGGCAGCATCAATGTGCAGCCTGCAAATCTGCAGAAATGATCTCAACATGGAGCAGAGCCTCAAAGGAACAGCTGATGGAAGGAAGACTGAATATAAAAATGGATGTAGACAAGTGGAAGCACCTAGATCCTGTCCATCACTTTCTGCAGAAGTCTAATGACTTTATTTATCACGTCAGTAAAGATTTTCCTGAGGAGTTTATGGTTTCAGTCTCTAGAACTACCTAGTATCAGTGTGGCGTTCCTAATGAAGTGCTCGGTGAGTGGACTGAACACTGGGACACGCATCGCTGCAAAATTGAGAACATAATCACCTTAAATGTGTGAGTCAGCCTGAGCTGTGTCTCAGATAAACCTGACACATACGCAGCAGTGATGGCGTGGAAGGTGTTCCTCACTCTTCTCTGACAGAATCTAAAAAATGAAAGCTTCACCATCAGTGCTCGGAGAAAGTGTTTGTCAAATGAACATAAAAGTCACACAATGGACCTCGGTTTCATCGCATCTTTCATTAAAATAAGAACATCGGAGACAATAAATGTAAGAGAACCCATAATGACGAGGAACCTTTCACACCTGATATTGAGGTTCAGATTAAACTGAAAAGTCTGATGTGAAAGAATCCCTAAAACCAACTGAGGGTAAATTTAAAATATGTTTTAAAAAAAGGTAATTGTTGGTAACTATATGTTCTGTTGTCGTTTCAAACAAAAAGAAAAACAGAAGCAAACAGTCACACTACACTTCTGTTCCGGTGATGTCGTTGCTGAAGTTGTTTTCAAGAACCCGATGTGAAGGTGGCACTTTATGCATCCATGTGATTATGTGTTGATTTGAATTTAAACTCATCTCCTCCTCGTTCTCCAGACCGTCATGATTCCTGGTCCGAAGCTGAAGGTGGACCAAGAGTTAGATGCCGTCAACTTTGAAGTTCCCAAACCAGCTGCGGTGCAGTGGTATAAATAGACCACCAGATGGCGATGCCCTTTCCTCAAAACCACAGTAGGACATTATGACCAGAATCAGGAGCCAAACGCTTTTTAGAACTTGGCTGTGGTTGTTTAGTTTGTCCACTTTGGTGTGAAACCAGGCTTCCTCTGGACGCTCTCTCTGTTTGAAAAGGCTGGCGGCCGTTCAAACGGTGGAAGCAGCAGGTGAGTAGTAATGAACAAACCTCTGTGTCCTGAAGCCAACGAAGCTGCTTCTTACTCGACAACAAAACCATCACACGACGGTCCTGACAAATAATAACAGGTGTTCTCTTTATTAACTAATTTAATATGTACATGTGAAAAATAAAATGTACAGATCTGCAGAAATCGTATGGTTTATTTCTGGGATGATGATATTGCATGATGACCTCGGGGAAATAGAAAAATAAAGTGTCCCTTCTGCTTTTCTTCGCACCAGATTTTCTCAGAATAATCTTTCATAGAAGATGCGTACAAAGGTGGAAACAGTACACAGGCTGTTTTTTTTTTTCCATGCAAAACAAGGGGTGTGTTACAATGATAGTATTTTTTTAAAAACATGACGACAAAGTACAGCACGCTCATTCAAAAACACACAAACATGCAACAATGCTCACAAAACTAGGTCACTCCACTGACAAATCCAAAATATCAGTGCATGACAGAAACCTGCAGCAGCACAAGTTTACCGATCTTCACTATTTAACAACTGAACCGACTGGTGAGATCAAATCCTGCCATAGACGTGTGATTTACATCAATACACAAAATGTATGTTTTAAACTAATTTTTCACCATTGAATGTAAAAAATACTGTTTTTAAAAAGTTGCATTATCTGAAGTTTTGTGTCATATAATCATAAGAATTCTGACGAATTCATATGTTGTTTCAGGACAAAGGATGAAGGATCTCTTAAAATCCAGCTCCTCCAACACCTGAAGAAAACTAATGTAGTCGACCAAAAGCTTAACCTGCAGTTATTCTATTAATCAATGAACAGAGCAGCTGTTTTAATTAACGCTGAGGCCCGACCTCCAGAACTTTACAGAACTGCACTGAGCCACAGAAGATGATATAATATCCATTGATTTAATATTCTTTGCAGTTAACATTTAACAAGTACGTAATCTTCACAGCCTGTTTCTATTCAGCTCATCCCGTCTCCATGAAACCTGATTTCCACTGAACTGCATCCACATGTTTCGTTAACAGATATAAAAGAAAAATGCATTATTCACTCTGCGTTAACAGGCGGAGGTCTCAGGGTAGAACTCTTGGGTTCGTGGTTGTTTAAGCAGTTGTTGGCATTATTTTTGAAGTAATTCTTTAATCAGTCAGTGAGCAGGCGCGCATCATTATTTATATTATTAATATCCACTGTCGTCCTCTCGGCACACTTCACATTTTCCCCTACTTAAAAAATATAGTTTCCACGAAGAATAAAAGTCGACTTATCTACCTGTCGACTTGTCTTTGCTGGTTAAGATTAGAGTTTTGTCTCATAGGTCCTTTGCTTAATTTGCATTTGCAGCACTTGTTAGGTCCAGATGTTGTTATATATTCACTGCAGCCATGTGTCCAACACCCTGTAGCACGTGGCTAACTGTCGCCTAAAACATGCAAATACACAAAAACGATTTAACTCATAATGGGGGGGGACAGGAAGAAAGGGGACTTCATCTCATGGCCTTAGACGCCCTCCCATCATTCAAAGAAGTCTTTTCTAGGTCACTGCAGGATCATTGGGGTTTTAACAAGTCTGTGCTACAATATCAAGACATCGTAGAAACAGAGTGAATCCAAACTGAAACATCACAGCCCAGCGACTTGTCCGTCAGAAAGAGCTTTCAGCTTTGCCAGCTGCAGGGGGAGTCGCTCCCCGAGTCGCTCCCCGAGCCGCCAGTGGAGCGTGAAGAGGTTAAACGTCCTCCTCACTATCAACAGGTTTAACAGAGTTCTTATTCCTGTTGATTTAGGGGGAGTGAAAAGTGAAAGTAATCGCTGGCTAGCTTTAGGTCACAAGTCCGGAGGGAACACAAAAGCCTCAGCAGCACATTCTGCATCGTCCTCTTCGTCTTCCTCTGGAATGTTCTCAGGCTCCCAAGTAAAAACGTCTGAGGCGTTGTCAGTGAATGAACCGGATCTGCTCCTGACCATATCCCAGGGACACAGAGCATCACGTCGACCTAAGTTTGTTTTAGACTCATCCATCTGATCTGTGCCGATGTCAGCGAGTGTCTCCATATCTCCTGTCACTTCACCTGTCTCACTGTGGAGAATGTCCACTTCAGCGGATGTTTGTGGATCCGTCAAACAAACATCAGGTACAGCGCTGTCTTGCTCTTTGACGGTTCCCGGTTCTTCTGTGTCCCACGGACAAACATCTGCCCGAGCGCTGTCTTGCTTTTTTAGAACTTTTGGTTCTTCTGTGTCCCACGGACACACATCTGCCCGAGCGCTGTCTTGCTTTTTGAGAACCTCTGGTTCTTCTGTGTCCCACGGACAAACATCGGCCCGAGCACTGTCTTGCTTTTTTAGAACTTTTGGTTCTTCTGTGTCCCACGGACA